AAATAAGTTCGACTGGATTTATTGAAGCTTATGCTTAGATGAAGCTAATGGCAAATAAGTTCGACTGGATTTATACAAAAATTACGGACAATTCCACAGTGTTGCCTCCCGCAGCCTGCTACTGTGTGCAACAGTTATACCTTAGTTTTCTTTTTATGCGTTTTGTGCTGTGTAACACGGGGTTGTCTGCGTGTGTGTGTATGTGTCCACAGCAACTTGTCCGCAACTTTTAACTCGGGAACCACAAAAGCTAAGAAGCTGAAAATTTAGGGGAACGTCCCCCACCCACGTGTGACCCCGCAAATTTAAATTCAGCTTTCCCGTACCCGTGGGTAACGCGTACGGCCACGGGGAAGTTTTTTACTGGTAATTTAGTATCTCGGGAACACAGAGTCTAGGAGGCTGAAATTTTAGGGTAATGATCTTCTGCCCACGCTCAACCTTGCCCATTCAAATTCAACGTTCTCGCATTCTCGGGTACCACCTACGGCCTCGTGAAAATTTTGGCGGGTAAACTATTAACTCAGGAAACATGGAAAGATATTCATCCTTCAAGGTTTCGAATTCAGCTTTCATGCGCTGGTGCATGAAATTTTTATCTGTTTTCCCATATTTGAATATTTTTGCATAGACTAAAGTACAAAGCAGTGAAAATCATTAATAGGCAATCGTTCGATGAGCTGAATTGCACAAAACGCATGATCGCACCGGCTAGTCTGGTGCGCGTTGCTATTTATTTATATTCAAAATCTCACAGAAGAAAACACTGACTTCATCTCCAGGCATCAGTTCTACCCTGTTTTTGAGCACTCTGTGGAACTTGTTGGCTTTCAGCTTTACCTAAGCATCAATTTTACAAATAGGGAAGTTTGATGACAAGTTCTTATGTAACAGTTTTACTTAAGCAACAGTTTCATAAAAAAGTGAAGTCCACTACTGAAGTTTTCACTAGCAAAATCTCAGTTTCGTTGCTTTTATTCACAAAGTCGGGTTTGCTTTAATTTACTTTTTATGGCGCTGTGTTGTCTTTTTCTCTTTACTGCTGTCTCCAGTACTTGCTTCGAGCTCCTGATCTGTATCCTCGTTCCCATTCTCTACCCTGTCCCCAAATCCTGCCAGCAAACAACATCTAAGCCCCATCCCTACTATAAAAGTACTGTTCAAGCAAATAGCGTGTGCCTTCCCCTACCCAAGGTATCTACGGTAAAAACCGTGAGCAGACTTCTTATCCTTTCTGTTCATCATCGCTCCTCTCTTCCCTCCAAATGTATGTTACTTAGTCAACCAGCAAAGGATCTACGCCACTAAGTCCTTATATCCACCTGTCTTAACCCGCCTCCCCTGCCTCAAACGAACACGCCGCATACTACCTTCATTTCCACCTGCCACATTCAAACTGCCGCCATCCGTCGTTGGGCAGCTCTACTAGCCGTCTGTAGAAAAATTTTTTGGAGCTCGTGTGTGTGAGATGTGCCGAGCCGAGTTGTTATAATTGTCGGTTTTGTGTCAGCAGCAGTCTAGCAGTACGCACCACTAATTATTACACCACGTACTGTGTCGCTGGCGGGTGTGTGTCAGGGTGTGTGCGGTTGTGCAACTCCTCCAGGACGGCCGGCGAGAGAGTGTTACCTGCCCGTCTGCTGCATCCAGAACGCCAACCAGCTGGCCATCCTGGGCAGCGGCTCCTACCCTTCCCAGCGAAAGTGTCTAGGTTGTCTCTTGTCCCTCTGCATTTAACCGAGAAAATCTTTCGCCTTTTACTAAAGATTTCCGTGCAGAGGGGCATTTTGAGCTTACATGCAATTTTTGGAAGCCCACGCAAGTGGGCTAACAAACACTTTCAAGTGCATAAGTTCTCCTGAAGCGTTCAACGAAGTTCTGGATGTTGCTCGTGCATCTTTGTTAGGTATTGTAAATTAAACTTTTTCCGCATATTTTTACAATTCTTTAAATTTCTCAACCTTTTTAAATTGTTTCGCTTGAAGTGTTCCAGGAAGTCCGAGATGTTGCAGTGGTTGAAGCTTGGCTTTCGAACGAGACCGGTATTTGTATCCGAAGGGAATGTGACATTGGGATTCCTGTATTCCGTTCTCAGAAACAATGTTAAGGCCTAAGCCATCGACAGCCCCGTCATTTTACTCTTGCTATTACCGGGCTACTTCCGAGTACCTTCGTTATAGAGAGTGAGCATCGGGGAGGGGAGGATTGAGTTTGACTTTCATTGACTACACAAAAGCAGAAATGAAGTTTAAGATCATTAACAGCATAGTAGTGGGTTTGATTTTCATGCCATGCTTGCTGTTCTCTCCACTCCCACTGCACGAACAGTCTGGGAGCAAGTAATACTCCAGCCTTCTCCTTATCCCGGGTATCCGTGGCAAAAACTAGCAGCACAATTCCTCTTCCTTTCCATCCGTACTCTTCCCCATCCAGTCGCTGTCGAAAATGGTAAATCTAGGTTGTCGATGAGTTGTGTGAGATGTGGATTTTTTAGTTTTCTTCTTTTTGATCAACACTTAGCTGTTTACATGTATTGTTTTCGCGGAGGTCCTTCCGCGTAGCTTTCTTATCTATCACGCACTTTCGTCTTCAACAAAGGAAGATGCCGGGCCGGCAGATGTACGACGACGGTGCTCATTCCTCCTGTCTTTTTTTTATCATTTCAACGGGTTCAACGAGACGGAGGACGGTGGGCCGAGACGACGGATGGGCAGCACTACGCGCGACGGAACGACCAGGCATCATTGCCTTCCCTCTAATATT